CTCATTGGAGCAGGTTCCTGAACTGCATTTATTCTGTGCTTAGTCAGCTTTCATGGATATCATCTCTGTCCTCCTCCATCCTAACATTATCTAACCCATGCTTAATGTTAGACTTAAATATTCACCGCTAAGCCTCATCAAACTTCTACCTTTCTTTTCCCCTCACTCTTTCTTAATCAGCTGTAAGTCCTATTTTACAAGTAATGGGATTGTGATCAATTGCCACTATTGCTTCCTGGTAAACTTCCCAGCTCTAAATTCCTGCTGTGCTCTGTCTTTTTGGGGGTTTTTTGGCCCGTCCCGTTTGGCTCTTTTGCCATCAGAATTACTGGGGAAAAGAAAGGGGAGAAAGAAAGAGGGAAAGAAAAACAGTGGGGAAGAGGGACGGGGATAAAGGGTAAAAAACTAAAACCAACAAAATAAGCAGACAAAAAATGCATATATCAATCACCTGGATCACCTGTTGAGAAAGAAAAAAGAGAAAACAAGCAGAAAAAAAAGAGCAACACAATAAACAACATCACGATGATCTATGGGAATATAACAGTAAATACTAAATATTAAACCTGCTGTGTTTCTTGAGCCTGATTTTAAATCCAGTAAAGACTCTTTCCCTAAGCTGACAGTGACCAGAGTCCCTGTTTATTCAGACTGACTAATTCCTTCTTATCTATAAGCTGCCCAATCACCTCACCATTTCCATCTGTTCTTTGTCCTCCCCAGAGTACAATGTGAGCACTTAAGTGTCCACACAGCATTATCTTCTTACTCTTGAGGCATTTTGATGTTTTTAAAACAGTGAACTTGTAGTTTTTTTTGCGAGGATTCTAAAGGTTTATTACAGTGAGAGCTTCCCTACCTAACCATATTCCTATTGCCAGATGCTTCAACAGCAACATCAAGCCTATGTACAACTAAATCTAACCTTTGCTTAAATCATGTTTCCTGTACACAGATAACTTGTGAAAAACTTCCTCTGCCAGTTTCTTCTGCTCAGTCTTTGATGTTTTCTTCACTTTCTTCATCAGGTCGTTAGACACACTTTCCAGAAGGCAGCAACACTTTCTGCACCCTCACATCCAGTTCCAACTGGTCACAAGCACTGGCTGGTTTCTTTGTCAGAAGCTTCCAGAAACAGGCAAGAGGAACTATACAGGCTGTTGCTCAGTACCTCTACTACCGTCCCTTCACAAGTCTGAAGTCTGTAATCCTTAATTTGTGGAATTAGTTTTAGTTGACATCTCCCTGTAGTTGTCAGTTTATACCGAATTTTTTTGTTCAGTGGTTTTTATCTCTTTTATCCCAGTATCTGTTTCCACAGTCTCTGGCCTAAATTCTAAAGTCCCTAACTCAATTTAACTTTGTCCAAACAAGCACATGACACCGTTTTCAACGATGAGGAGACTCGGTAACTCCTAGCTTAATCTCGAGATGCCCTGTACCCCACAGCTAAGCCAAACTGAACTATCCCTGTTCGACGACAGGTCAAAGCCGCGCGTCCACGACCAGGAGGGAGCGTAACCTCCGGGCTATGCGCTTCTTAGCATCTTCCAGTGCCGTCCTATAATAATTTTCACCTAACCGATTTTGACAAATTTATCATAACGGGTCCAACTGAAGAAAGTTAACTTTTTTGTAATCAATTAAACAGTATCTGTTACTTCTGGGAACAGTTTCTGACCTAATTTGTATAATAACACATAGCCAATTCCCTACCAAACTACCTGAGCCTTTAACTCAATATCCAGGGACTCAAACCCAACATTATTACGTTCATATTTCTTCAACTTCATTAAATACTCTTAAGCAACTTTAACTGCATAACACACGGTGATTCTCATCAAAATCAAAACAGACACTCTACCAGTAATTTCAGTGAGTATTAGTATTTAGTATTTATTTATTTATTGTCATTGTCAAGAACAATGAAATTGCGTTTGGGGCTTCCATACAACCCAAAAAAACTTTAATTTAGTCATATCCAATTTGGCACACTTTGGAAATAATTCAAATAGTAAGGCACTACCTGGAAATAATTCAACAGGTAGTGCCTTACCTTTAGATAAGCCGGCTTTTGTCCACTCACATCAGACCACTGGCTCGTGCCTGTCCGTTCGACAACCTCGGACCGTCCAAACTTTTAAATTCCACCCCAATACCACAGGACGAGCCCCCAAGCTGTTAAGGTTCAAAAATATTGGGGATGGACACCAGAGGAAAAAACCACAATAACAACACTGGTCCGGTCGGGTTGAGTCAAACGATGATTTTAATGATCACACGCGTGGGAGATGGACACTGATGCAGACAGCCTCAAAATCTCAAAATGGTGGAGCATTGCTCAAACTTTTATAGCCTCTGGTGTCTCCACCTTATCATAAAACCTAAACATTCACATGCTTTCTCTCACACAGCGCCTAAGCTACGACCTTGGCTCCCCGTTTATCTGCTCCTGCTGAGATGGGGCAGAAAACTCCAGCACACTCTATTCTCTTCTACTCAGACAAATTAGACAATAACTTTCTGCGAACAGTATTTCTTATAACTCAGCAGTATAATGCATCATAAAACAATATCATTCATTCACAACAAGTCAGCAATTTAATGTAATGCAAATCAGTTTAACTAATGTAATAGTTATCAGCTTCTTCTAATTCAGGAGAATAATGCAAACTAAAACTACATAATAATTCACAATCTTTAATTCGGGGTATAACATGACATGAAATAATATTAGAATCTAACAAAGTGTAACAATTTATCCTGTTTCCAGTGTTTGTACTGAGCTAGGATAAATATGTCCTCCGCCTATCTATACAGAAATTAGTCTAACCTGAATCGGGGTAACTGGAAAGAACCATAGTACTGCACTGTTAAATATACTAAGATATATACAGCTTGTTAATGGAGAAGCTCTCGCTGGAGGCCTCCAACATTACTATCCCTACTTGATCAGTTACAAGAGTGTTTTTGTTGTGTGCAAAGGAAAAACTTATTATATATGTATTATATATTACATTTATAAAATGTATTATAAATGATTGTTCATTTCACATCTGCACGAAACAAACAGGAAATAAGAGAAGGACATGGGAAATGTTTCCACCTCTTCTTCCTCTATCAGACATTCTCTCCATACCTGAGAGTGTCCAGTTTCCACTGTGGATCCTTCAGACCAGCTGCCAGAAGTTTCACTATTGAGTCTCCTGGATAATTGTAGCTGAGGTCCAGCTCTCTCAGGTGGGAGGGGTTGGAGCTCAGAGCTGAGGCCAGAGAAGTACAACCTTCCTCTGTGATCAGACAGCCTGACAGACTGCAGACACACAAAACAAACATCAATCAATGAACACTTCAGTGAAGGTTGGTCTTGGGTTTCATTTTTTCCAGATAAAATTACCCTTATTCATTCCAACTGAGTAAGCATTATAAAGCAACAACAGTTGTCTCAAGTTGTACAGCAGGAAACCCTACAATATCACAGAACATATATGAACAATCACACTCATCCTACTGAGCAGTACTTGGCTACAGCTGGAAGGAGGAACTCATTTTTCCCAGGAAAAGACCTCCAGGGTTAGGGAGGGTTGACTTTTCCCTCACTTGCTTTATCATAAACCAATGTCTTCTGTCTAATCTTATAAGTAGAGAGAATGTCTATCTTTTCATTCAAAACTGTGAGATGGTTTCACCAGGGAGGAGGTTGATAGCTGAAGGGAGCACCTCCCATTTTACTTTCAGAAACTCAAGGAACCAGAGGTCAACCAGCTGTCTGACAGTGAAGTGCCGCAATAGGGTAATGTAGGAGTATCAGATATGAGGACATATGGATATATGGAGACAAGCTAATATGGGAGAAATATGTTCTCTCCATTTAGCCCCTTTTAATAATAATAATAATAATGAATTGGATTTATATAGCGCTTTTCTAGGCACCCAAAGCGCTTTACAATACCACTATTCATTCACTCTCACATTCACACACTGGTGGAGGCAAGCTACAGTTGTAGCCACAGCTGCCCTGGGGCAGACTGACAGAAGCGAGGCTGCCATATCGCGCCATCGGCCCCTCTGGCCATCACCAGTTTAGTACTCTCACTGCAGCAATTTGGATCAGCTTAAAGCTTTTCATGGAACTTTTAGGACAACCTGCAAATAATGCAATATATCAGTCAGGGGTAGGGATAGCTCAGTAGGTAGAGTGGCGGCTCCATGATCGGAGGAATTTCCCCACGGGGATGAATAAAGTAATCATTATTATTATTAAAAATAGTAAGTGTGTGATTCAGGTTTTTCCAAGGCTATTATGGGCTAAGATGTTTTACATTGTAATAATACTAATCACAGGAAGTTGGTACTATATTAATCTTTAGTTCATTAAAGGACATAATCTGGAAAAAAAAACCTCCAAGATTCATTTTTACAAACTTTTACAAAAATATTTATAAACAGCAATTCAGAGTCTAAAATTGTATAAGCCTTAGCTTTTAAGTAAGAATATAATACAAATTACAAATTATATGGAGTGAAAATGACTAAACACCGACTTCAGAGTTTTCAGAGTACAATGCAGACTCTGCAGTTCTGCAGAAAGAAGTTTGGCTCCTGAATCCTGGAGGTCATTTTCACTCAGGTCCAGCTCTCTCAGACAGGAGGACTGGCAGCTTAGAACTAAGGAAAGAGCTTCACAGCTTTTCCCTGAGAGGTTACAGAAATTCAGTCTGACAAAAAAAAAAAAAAAAACCCAAAAAAAACACTGACTTTATAACAAATTGATGATGCAATCAGCAGTTACTACTGGCAACATTTAATATTTCAGAAATGGTTGAAAATTTCGCCTTATTTTAAACAGAAATGTGGCAGGTTACTGTTACTAAGAAATATTAAAAATACTAAGCTACAAAAAAAAGATCTTTACTTTTCAACTAAAATAATTCAACATAAATAAATAAAATATTCACTAATCTGGCCTAAGACTTTCTAGTGTACAATGTGGACTCTACAGAGCAGCATTAAGAAGCTTCACTCCTGAATCTTGGAGGTTGTTGTTACTCAGGTCTAACTCTCTCAGACTACAGGACTGGGAGCTGAGAATTGAGGACAGAGCTTCACAGCTTCTCTTAGAGAGGAAACAGCCACTCAGTCTAAAGAGAAAAGAAACGAAAATCAGTACAAGGGAAGTTCTTGTTAACAAAAAACCTAAAATGTCAGGAAGAAATTCCTCATTAAATCACCATTATACCTCTAAACAGAAAAGCAACTGATCAACTAGTACAATTAATTAGTAAGTAGGGCTGGGCAATATGGCTTAAAATTCATGTCGCGATATAATTTGAAGCATGTGCGGTAACATATATATCGCGATATATTCTTTTCTTCTGTATAACATATTTTCCACACTATAAGGCACACTTAAAATCCTTTAATTTTCTCAAAAATCAAGTGTGCCTTATGTATGAAGTCTGGTTGTTCTTACTGACCTCGAACCGATTTTGGCGTGCAGAAATCTGTTAAAAATGTTTTAGTACAACGTTGGTAAGCCGCACTGCTTGATGGATTGTCAGAGCATTACGGCTGCCGTAGTGAGGAGCTTTGCGGAGCAATCTGGGTCCAAAACTCCGTCCGTTTCAGGTCCCAAAGTCAAACGAACACTAAGAGTTAAAAACGGTCTAAATTATTTCATCTTTAATAAAATCATCAGCGTTGCTGCTTTATCAGGTGTAACAATTAAGTTTAACATCCATGCATCCATGAAAACAAAATTTATTAAATTTAACGGAGTTAGACGTTAACAGGAAGTTAGCCCGCTAGTTTCCACCTAAACATGACATACCATGTTCTGACTGAGAGATTTTTGAAACTAATTAAAACGTACAGCTCTGCTACCACTTCCAACATAAATGAAGACAGAAAATTAAACAGCAGTGGCATTTGTAGGGTTACTGAAGTTGGACTACCTGGTATATAATGTTGTGCTACGTGTGTGTCGTGCTAGCGACACAGCTGTGTTAGCATAACATTAGCACAGTGAAGCTGGAGGATGAACACCAACTTTTTTTCCAATCAATAAAAGTTAACGTGAGGGATTCTGGTGGTTAGGGACAAATGCAATCGTATAGTAGGATGCTATACACGGGGCAAACGTCAGGAGAACAACTGAGATTATTCATCCACAATACGAGGTTAGTTATTAATACACTGCAACAACATGGGAATAGTACAGCTGGCCAAATTTATATAGTTTCTATCGTATATTGTTTATATCGCCCACCCCTATTAGTAAGTAAGTAAAATTTATTTATATAGCACATTTCACAAATAAAAATCACAAGATGCTTCCCCATCATCAGATAATTATACTGTAACTTTGATTACTATTTCTTCTTGGTGCCAAATTTCTGACTCTAGTTCAGTTTTAGAAACCTCATGTTAAACTGTGCAAGTATCAGTGCCTGAAAAACTCGATCCCCACGTGTTTTAAACCTAGTACGTGGGACCACCAAGTAACCTCTGACCTGACGACCTAAGTGCTCGGGATGAAGCATGAGGTTTCAACAGGTCAGAGATATACTGGGGAGACTCGACTGAAATGAACGGTCTAAAAAGCTGATATTTGTTTGGACCAAGAAACACAAGGAATGGACATTAGATCAGTGGAAATCTGTGCTTTGGTCTGATAAGTCCACATTGGAGATCTTTGGTTCCACCCACCAAAAATAAACGTTTTAAAAGTTTAGGGATAAGTTTATATTTACTTACATGGCTTTGTTGGAGGCTTTGACCACTGGCAGCAGCCTCATGAGAGCCTCCTCTGAAGCAGAGTATTTCTTCAGGTCAAACACATCTAGATCTTTTTCTGATGACAGTAAGATGAAGACCAGAGCTGACCACTGAGCAGGAGAAAGTTTATCTGTGGAGAGACTTCCTGATCTCAGGGACTGTTGGATCTCCTGCACTAGAGAATGATCATTCAGTTCATTCAGACAGTGGAACAGATTGATGCTTTTCTCTGCATATAGATTCTCACTGAGCTTATTCTTGATGTACTGAACTGTTTCCTGATTGGTCTGTGAGCTACTTCCTATCCGTGTCAGCAGACCTGGTAGGAGAGTCTGACTGGTCTGCAGTGAAAGACCCAGAAGGAAGCGGAGGAACAAGTCCAGGTGTCCATTTGGACTCTGTAAAGCCTTGTTCACAGCACTCTGATAGAAATTCTCTGCAGATTCTCCTGTTTCAGACTTCTGGGAGGTTGTCTGTTGTTCTTCCAGGAGATTGAGTCCAGAGTTGATGAAGGTCAGATGGACATGAAGAGCAGCCAGAAACTCCTGAACACTCAGATGGATGAAGCAGAACACCTTGTCCTGGTACAGTCCTCTCTCCTCTTTAAAGATCTGTGTGAACACTCCTGAGTACACCGAGGCTGCTCTGATATCGATGCCACACTCTGTCAGGTCTGATTCATAGAAGATCAGGTTTCCTTCCTGCAGCTGATCAAAAGCCAGTTTTCCCAGAGACTCAATCATCTTCCTGCTCTCTGGACTCCAGTGTGGATCTGTCTCAGATCCTCCATCATACTTGACCTTCTTCACTTTGGCCTGAACCACGAGGAAGTGGATGTACATCTCAGTCAGGGTCTTAGGCAGCTGTCCTCCCTCTCTGGTTTCCAGCACATCCTCCAGAACTGTAGCAGTGATCCAGCAGAAGACTGGGATGTGGCACATGATGTGGAGGCTTCGTGATGTCTTGATGTGGGAGATGATCCTGCTGGCCTGCTCCTCATCTCTGAATCTCTTCCTGAAGTACTCCTCCTTCTGTGGGTCAGTGAACCCTCTGACCTCTGTCACCATGTCAACACAGTCAGGAGGGATCTGATTGGCTGCTGCAGGTCGTGTGGTTATCCAGAGGCGAGCAGAGGGAAGCAGTTTCCCCCTGATGAGGTTTACCAGCAGCACATCCACTGAGGTGGACTTTCTAGGGTCAGTTAGGATTGTAGTTTTGTGGAAGTCCAAAGGAAGTCGACACTCATCCAGACCATCAAAGATGAACACAACCTGGAAGTCTTCAAAGCTGCAGATTCCTGCTTCTTTGGTTTCAGTAAAGAAGTGATGAACAAGTCCCACCAAGCTGAACTTTTCCTCTTTCAGCACATTCAGCTCTCTGAAAGTGAATGGAAATATGAACTGGATGTCCTGGTTGGCTTTGTCTTCAGCCCAGTCCAGGGTGTATTTCTGTGTTAAGACTGTTTTCCCAATGCCAGCCACTCCCCTTGTCAGCACTGTTCTGATTGGTTCATCTCTTCCAGGTGAGGATTTAAAGATGTCTTCTTGTCTGATTCTTGTTTCTGATCTGTCGGTTTTCCTGGATGCTGTTTCAATCTGTCTGACCTCATGTTCATCATTGACCTCTGCAGTCCCTCCCTCTGTGATGTAGAGCTCTGTGTAGATCTGATTCAGGAGGGTTGGGTTTCCTGCTTTAGCGATCCCCTCAAACACACACTGGAACTTCTTCCTCAGTGCAGATTTAAGGTTACGATGACAAACTGCAGCTTGAAGCTCTGAATAATAATAGTAAAAAGACATTGTCAACAATCAGTTCATGTATTAGAAAATGTCCCCAATAACTGACTGAATACATGTTGGTCCATCTCTTAAAACATTACTAAATGTTTGATTCATCCAGCAGCTTAAATTTTAAAAAATCCTCTCACTGCTCTGCAGACATTCAGCTAGCTCCTCCTGCTTCATTCTTCTCAGAAAGTCCAGTGTTATCTTCACAAATGCTTCTCTGCTGCTCTGCTTCCGCTCATCCTCCCTCTGACTCTCAAAGCATTCTAGGTAATCTGGACTCAGAACCTTCTGGATCTTCTTCAGCTCGTCCTTCACAAAAGTGATGATGTTGTCCTCCAGCAGCTGGAACAGAATACTTTATGAATGAGCCAATCAGACTGAAATCATGGAGCCAAACATCAGATCTCTACAAAGAGCAGCATGGAGATGATTGTGAACACAATACATGTAAAAGTAGTTGTTTTACATGTACAGACCATGAATATGGAGACCAGCGGTGTTTGATGCTGCTCAGCAGACTGACCACTGGGAACATCTGAGCTCTCCTGGTCTGCTCTGTGGAGGAATCACGAAGAATTAGTTCACAGGATAACGACCTAGCAGTACTTTTACCCAGTTTAACTGATACAGCTGTCTCAGGTCCTCTTGAGGGCTGTGCAGTTAACCTCTTGGTAGAGAAACCTAACAGAGGACTGTAAAAATGCTCCGCTCTTCTCCCCTCTGCTCTTTTTTCCCTTTTCTGGGATGCAGCAGCCAGGTAGAGCTTCCTTCCAATCTGATCCGGCGGGGAGGTGTGGGATGCCAGATCAGGCGCCACACCTCCGGCTCTCCATATATCTATCTATCTATCTATCTATCTATATCTGTAATCTGCGTTCGACTACTCCGCCTAGGCTGCACTCTCGAGCCTAGGCGGAGTAGTCAAATGCAGATTCACTGAGCACTCAACACAGACAGGATGGTCAGAAGGAAGAGCGCAGGGCAAGCTAGCGAGACAGAAGTGGACCTCCCCACCCTCATTCAGATCTGGCGTTTGGAATTATTTTGGTTTTCATGTGACGTATGACCCTGAAGGTAAGCGCGTCATGGACTAAAGTAAAACAGTATGTTGGATGTGCCACGCAATGCTCAATTACATGGGTGGGAACTAGTGTGTTAGCGCAGTTAGCTCGTTAACGTGTTGGCCGTCTAGCCCCTCTGTATAGGGTAGCTCATTAACGGAGATTTGCCGTGTTGTGGCGTTAAGGTTATTTCAACGAGATTAACCTGAAAGCACTAGTGGGAACACAACGAATATGACTGCACATTTACACCGACATCATCCTAGTGCAAAGACAAAAACAAGCATGCTACAAACTTTAGCCGAGTCATTTAGACAGCTGTTAGCACAGGATTCTCCTTATGGAGACCTGATATGTTTAATATGCTGCTGAGAATATAGCCCAGAAGAAACGGATAGTATAGCTTTTATTTTGGAAAGAGACATTTCTCTGTAATAAACTCTCTTTTCCAAAGATGAGTGATTCCTCCATCAGATACAGGGCTCGCAATATCGCTAGCCCGACGTCCCGGGGCTATCTCTCCCCTGCCTGTCGGGCTATTGTAGGAAGGAAAAATATATGTCAATGCTTTTGCATTCTTTCAGAAATGTAGCTGGGTAATTATGTCATTGGGTGAGCCACTGTCAATATGTGACATATTGAAATCGTGTTTGAATTTGCGCTTGTTTTTTTGCTTTCACTTTGCAATCGCGCGAACTGTGTATAGAGAGCGACAGCACTGATCTGTGAGTGGTGATAATTTGTGCACCAATTCCTCTGACATCGTCTTATTAATCGTTAGCTTACTATGCAAACATGACAAGTGAAATCTCCCGCAGCTTAAACATGTGAGAGGTTGATCGCGCAGAGAATCGCTGAGCTTATTTGAGTGCGGCAGGATATATATTTCACTACGATGACCTGGATGATTGAGAACCTTCACAGACAGATATATATTTTAGTTCTGCTGAGCCAAATAAGACAGGTCAGGGTGAAGAAGTGACAGCCAAAGAAAAGCTTACCACAAAACGGAGAAGTTATGACAAATCAGACTATAAGGCAAAAAGAAAGTGCAGCTTTATGGTTTCATGGACAAAAGAATTTCTGTGGCTGCAATATGACGAGCTAAAAAACAACACGCACAAGGGTTAGGGTTAAATTTAAAAACTGTACTTTTGTGTTAAAATATATATTTATAATTTTAATAAATGACAAATTAAAAAGGCATGAACATTTTTTTTTTGTATCGAAAAAATATCGAACCGTGACACCAAAGTATCAAACCGAACCGTGAATTTTGTGTATCGTTGCACCCCTAATATATATATATATATATATATATATATATATGTATATATATATATATATATATATATATATACACACACACACACACACATACACACACATAAGTCACTTATTAATAAATAGCTGGAAAAGAAACGTGTAGTTGTAGCAGTAACCAGTGTGTTAAGTGGATGCGTTGTACAGGGAGATGGCCACAGGCAGGAAACTCTAGATCTTGTTTTAACATATGGCATAGAAACTGAACATTTAACAGTGTTTCCTGAAAACCCTCTCCTGTCTGATCATTTCCTGATAACATTTAATTTACAATAATTGATTACGCAGCAGTGGAGAGTAGACTTTATCACAGTAGATGTCTGTCTGAAAGTGATGTAACTAAGTTTAAGAATATAATCCACCCACTGTTATCATCTTCAATGACCTGTACTAACATAGAGCAGAGCAGCTATCTGAACGCTACCCCAACAGAGGTCGATTATCTTGTTAAGAATTTCACCTCCTCATGTCACTGGATACTGTAGCTCCTGTGAAAACTAAGGCCTCTAATCAGAAGTACCTGACTCCGTGGTATAATTCTCAAACACGTAGCCTAAAGCAGATGACTCGTAAGCTGGAGAGGAAATGGCGTGACACAAATTTAGAAGATCATCATTTAGCCTGGAGAAATAGTTTGCTGCTTTATAAGAAAGCCCACCGCAAAGCCAGAACATCTTACTATTCATCACTGATTGAAGAAAATAAGAACAACCCCAGGTTTCTCTTCAGCACTGTAGCCAGGCTGACAAACAGTCAGAGCTCTATTGAGCCAACCATCCCTTTAACGTTAACTAGTAATAACTTCATGAACTTCTTCACAAATAAAATTTTAATCATTACAGAAAAAATTACCAATAATCATCCCACAGATGTAATATTATCTACAGCTACTTTTAGTACCATTGATGTTAAGTTAGACTCTTTTTCTCCAATCGATCTATCGGAGTTAACTTCAATAATTACTTCCTCCAAACCAGCACAGAAACAGCTTTAGTGAAGGTTACAAATGATCTTCTTATGGCCTCTGACAGTGGACTCATCTCTGTGCTTGTCCTGCTAGACCTCAGTGCAGCGTTCGATACTGTCGACCATAATATCCTATTAGAGTGATTAGAACATGCTGTAGGTATTACAGGTACTGTGCTGCAGTGGTTTGTATCATATCTATCTAATAGACTCCAGTTTGTGCATGTAAATGGAGAGTCCTCTTCACACACTGAGGTTAATTATGGAGTTCCACAGGGTTCAGTGCTAGGACCAATTCTGTTTACATTATGCATGCTTCCCTTAGGCAGTATCATTAGAAGACATAGCATACATTTTCACCCAGCTCTATCTGTCCATGAAGCCAGATAACACACACCAATTAGTTAAACTGCAGGAATGTCTTAAAGACATAAAGACCTGGATGGCCGCTAACTTTCTGCTTCTTAATTCAGATAAAACTGAGGTTATTGTACTCGGCCCTGAAAAGCCTAGAAATATGGTATCTAACCAGATTCTTACTCTGGATGGCATTACCTTGGCCTCCAGTAACGCTGTGAGGAACCTTGGAGTCATTTTTGACCAGGACATGTCCTTCAACGCACATATTAAACAAATATGTAAGACTGCGTTCTTCCATTTGCGCAACATCTCTAACATTAGAAATATCCTGTCTCAGAGTGACGCTGAAAAACTAGTTCATGCATTTATTACTTCCAGGCTGGACTACTGTAATTCATTATTATCAGGATGTCCAAAAAACTCACTGAAAAGCCTTCAGCTGATCCAAAATGCTGCAGCAAGAGTCCTGACAGGGACTAGAAAGAGAGAGCATATTTCTCCTGTTTTGGCTTCCCTTCATTGGCTTCCTGTTAAGTCCAGAATTGAATTCAAAATCCTGCTCCTCACATACAAGGCCTTAAATAATCAGGCCCCATCTTATCTTAATGACCTTATAGTACCATATCACCCTATTAGAGCACTTCGCTCTCGCTCTGCAGGCCTACTTGTTGTTCCTAGAGTATTTAAAAGTAGAATGGAAGGGAGAGCCTTCAGTTTTCAGGCCCCTCTTCTGTGGAACCAGCTTCCAGTTTGGATTCAGGAGACAGACACTATCTCTACTTTTAAGATTAGGCTTCAAACTTTCCTTTTTGCTAAAGCATATAGTTAGGGCTGGACCAGGTGACCCTGAATCCTCCCTTAGTTATGCTGCAATAGACGTAGGCTGCCGGGGGATTCCCATGATGCATTGAGTTTTTCCTTCCCAGTCACCTTTCTCACTCACTATGTATTAACAGACCTCTCTGCATTGAATCATATCTGTTATTAACCTCTGTCTCTCTTTCACAGCATGTCTTTATCCTGTCTTCCTTCTCTCACCCCAACCGGTCACAGCACATGGCCCCGCCCCTCCCTGAGCCTGGTTCTGCTGGAGGTTTCTTCCTGTTAAAAGGGAGTTTTTCCTTCCCACTGTCGCCTAAGTGCTTGCTCATAGGGGGTCATATGATTGTTGGGTTTTTCTCTGCATCTATGAAGCGCCTTGAGGCGACTTTTGTTGTGATTTGGCGCTATATAAATAAAATTGAATTGAATTGACTTAGGCCAGACTTGTATACCCAGCACTTCCAGTATATATATTCTACATTACTCTTCTTATATTTATTGTTTGTTTACTTGCACTGCTGTAACAGGAGCCTCGTCGTCTCGTCTCTCTATATGCTGGACTGTAAGTAGCGGAGATGACAACAAAGTTTACTTTGACTTCAGCAGTGAGCAGGCGCACCGAGGGCTCTCGCGCTCACTTTTAGCGTACAGAATTTCCAAAAAACATCAGTGCAAATTATAAGTCTGTACTATAATGTCTTGTGTTTTCATGTTTGTTGGTTTGTTTTATTTTGTTTTATCTTGCAAGTTGGTTATTAGACGCTGCTCCAGCCAGCCAGAGAATCCCCCGCCGCCCCGCCCTCTCCTCCCTGTGCCGCAAGCAGCAGACGCACCTCGCAAATGCAGGGCGCCCTTACTCCCAGCAAATGGGCGATAGAAAACCGATCGGTGCCTATGCCATTCCCAATATGGCTGGCTGATGTTGGGGCAGCATGAGTACGAGCAATTTTTTTTTTTTTTTGCCGATGCCCGTGATGCCGCCCCCCACCACAATGCCGCCCCGGGCAAACGCTACTGACAGAGCTTTACAAACTACAAACACTTTACATTACAATTGTGATACACAATGTAACTGTAATGTAATTTACAATGTAATTGTAAATTACAAATTCCATTTTATAATAAATAAAATTGAATTGAATTGAATTCCACAGCATGTCTTTATCCTGTCTTCCTTCTCTCACCCCAAATGGTCGCAGCAGATGGCCCCGCCCCTCCCTGAGCCTGGTTCTGGAGGTTTCTTCCTGTTACAAGGGAGTTTTTCCTTCCCACTGTCACCAAAGTGCTTGCTCATAGGGGGTCATATGATTGTTGGGCTTTTTTCTGTATCTACTGTACAGTATAAAGCGCCTTGAGGCAACTGTTGTTGTGATTTGGTGCTATATAAATAAAATTGAATTGAATTGAATTAAATTAAATTAAAACAGCTCATAACGGTTCTCTTACCTCACTGGTTCATTACTGAAGTTTGGATTGCTATCTTTGGACCAGTCACTCCTCACAGATGGGAATCTTGACCTGACTTCCTCTTCCTCGATCATCATCTTGTTGTGGACTTCAGTCATTCTGAGAGGTAAACCACAAACACTCAGTGAGTGATCCACATCGGGGATTCAAGGAAAACCTGATCTTAGTTGCTGACTCTGAAATTTAAGACCTTTCAATAATAAAAACAAAAAAAGCAAGAAATACTCTCATGTTTGAAACAGGATATAATAATAGGAACAGCTGTGAGTATGATCATGTCATATCATGTCAGCTCACTGCAAAGTCCAACTTCAGTATGAAACTATATTACAGTGGGATGCAAAAGTTTGGGCAACCTTGTTAATAGTCATTATTTTCCTGTATAAATCGTTGGTTGTTACAATAAAAAATGTCAGTTAAATATATCATATAGGAGACACACACAGTGATATCTGCGAAGTGAAATGAAGTTTATTGGATTTACAGAAAGTGTGCAATAATTGTTTAAACAAAATCAGGCAGGTGCATAAATTTGGGCACTGTTGTCATTTTATTGATTCCAAAACCTTTAGAACTGATTATTGGAACTTAAATTGGCTCGGTAAGCTCAGTGACCCCTGACCTACATACACAGGTGAATACAATAATGAGAAAGAGTATTTAAGGGGGTTCATTGTAAGTTTCCCTCCTCTTTTAGTTTTCTCTGAAGAGTAGCAACATCGGGGCCTCAAAACAACTCTCAAATGACCTGAAGACAAAGATTGTTCACCATCATGGTTTAGGGGAAGGACACAGAAAGCTGTCTCAGAGATTTAAGCTGTCTGTTTCCAGTTAGGAACATATTGAGAAAATGGAAGTCCACAGGCTCAGTTCAAGTTAAGGCTCGAAGTGGCAGACCAAGAAAAATCAGTCAGAGTCGACCCACAGACCAGCACCAAAGACCTACAATATGATCTTGCAGCAGATGGAGTCACTGTGCATCGTTCAACCATTCGGCGCACTTTACACAAGGAGATGATGTATGCGAGAGTGATGCAGAGGAAGCCTTTGCTCCGCCCACAGCACAAACAGAGACACTTGAGGTTTGCTAAAGCACATTTGGACAAGCCAGCTTCATTCTGGAATAAAGTGCTGTGGAGTGATGAAACTACAATTGAGTTATTTGGGCATAACAAGGAGCGCTATGTCATGGAGGAAAAAGAACACAGCAGTCCAAGAAAAACACCTGCTACCTACAGTAAAATATGGTGGTGGTTCTATCATGCTGTGGGGCTGTGTGAATGCCTTAACAAGTACAACGTTCTGGAACGGCCATCTCAGTCCCCAGACCTGAATATTATTGAAAATCTGTGGTGTGAGTTAAAGAGAGCTGTCCATGCTCAGAAGCCATCAAACCTGAATGAACTTTTTTTTTTTAAAGAGGAATGATCCAAAATACCTTCAACCACAATCCAGACTCTCATTGGAACCTACAGGAAGCGTTTAGAGGCTGCAATTTCTGCAAAAGGCGGATCTACTAAATATTGATTTCATTTCTTTTTTGTGGTGCCCAAATTTATGCACCTGCCTGATTTTGTTTAAACAATTATTGCACACTTTCTGTAAATCCAATAAACTTCATTTCACTTCTCAAATATCACTGTGTGTGTCTCCCATATGATATATTTAACTGACATTTTTTATTGTAACAACCAACGATTTATACAGGAAAATAATGACTATTAACAAGGTTGCCCAAACTTCTGCATCCCACTGTAATTAGAGATGTATAGATCCGATCACGTGATCGGAAATCGGGCCTGATCACGTGGTTTCAGACTCGATCGGAATCTGACGTTACCTTCCGATCAGGACTCAGCTATATGTATCTATGTATGTATGTAACACAACAAACCTGATACGGCACATCAAAAACAAACACCCGACACAATACAGCCAATTTACCCAGGCAACCCAGCTGAAGACGAGTCCGCTCAAACTGCAGGAGAGGTTGAAGAGGAGAAAAAAAAATGCCCGGTGACAGCGTGAAGGCACAGGACATCACAGCCAAGATAGCACAAATGACCGCAATGAGTAACCTGCCATCTGCCTTTGTAGAAAACCCTGGAATTCTTATAGTTATGGAGTATGTAGAACCTCTATTTGAAATGCCGTCTCACCATTACTTCACAGAGAAAGCTCTGACAAACTTTCTGACTAATTTCTGACAAACTACTTGTCCTGTTATCAGATGTGCCCCGTGTTTCGTTCACCATAGACATCTCACATGTCTCTACTAAGCCTTACCGCGCAATGGATTGACTCAAGTTTTTTTTTCGCCGTGCGACCCTACATGTCCAGGAATTTCGCAGATCGCACACCGCAGAACGCATCCAGCAATCGATTGAAAAGATGAACAACTGGGGAATTGACAAGCAACGGGTCCATGTAATTTTGCGTGACAATGCGGAAAATATGAAGAAAGCTATGAGGGATTCCGAGTGTGGGCTGTGTCGCCCATTCCTGTCAACTCTGTGTGCATGAGGGCCTGTTGTCTTAGCGCAGCGTGACAGAGACCCTGGCCAATGCAAGGAAGATTGTAGGCCTACTCTCGACTAGAAGACATACAGATGGACCTAAATATGGATATCAAGTGCCTACAGCAAGATGTACAGGTGACAGTCCTCTCGAAACATTCTTTAATGTATTTCTATTTTATTATTATTTCCCATACACTTGATTTAGTAAGCCACTAATACATTACCTGCTTTGCACAAAAATAAAGCGAATCATGTTCTCTTTTGTGCAGACACGATGGAACAGCAGCCTCTACATGCTGCGGAGCGTACTGCAACAAAAACGTGCTCTTAATGTCTTTGCAGCTGAGCACACTCTACCAGCAACAGTGACAGCTCACCAGTGGGAGCTGATGGATAAGACTGCTGATGTGCTCTCCCCCTTTGAAGAACTGACCAGGGACGTGAGCAGGGAGACTGTAACTGCAGCTGATGTGATCCCCGCCATAACAGGTAATTGGTATTTTTATTTCTTACTTATATTGTTTGAAACAAACCATAATACCTCATTAAGTGCATTCATTAAGTCATCCATTCACTCATGAGTCCTCAGATGTGTTCTGTCTCGGGAGGATGGTGATGACCAGGGAATAAAAACAATTAAGAGGACTCTGCTGGAGGCTGTGGAGAAGCCCTATGCTGATGTTGAACTGAGCCACTTTTCTAGATACCAGATACAACGATGGGCAAGTATAGTGAAATTAAAATGTACCTTTTGTACAGCATGTTTATATAAAGTAAAGTCATCAACAGACACCAGTATTAAGCCAATTTATTTTTTACTTCCTTTTTAATTTAGTTTTGGGTAATTTAGTTCTAAAGTTGGATTTTTTTTAAAAATTGTTTATTAAAAGTATGTGCGTAGGCAGTTGCCTAACTGAAGAGCTGCACTATGTGGCGCCTCTTGTCTTATAGTTTTGAATTGTGTGTTACTTTTATCCGTTTCTAGCTTTTTCACAAAGTCAGCCAACCTGTTGCTTGCAAAGGAACAACTTATCCAGGAGGTGGCAAAGACAGAGGGGAAGAGGGCTGTCAGTGCAGTGCCAGAGGAAAATGAGCCAGTGAGCAAGGCACCACATCGTGAAGCACGTAGCAGCCTGGACGTTGCCTTTGAGGAAATCTTGCAAGAGAGGCAGTCACAGAGATGGTCCATGAGTACCACATCAGCAGAACCTCAAGTGCAGACCTACCTCTCAGAAAAAAACACCTCTAAGAAAAGCGACCCACTTCAGTACTGGAAAGAACATTTTAATCAGTTTCCCTCTATGGCTGATGCTGAAACCCAGTATCTCAGTGCCCCCTGTAGCTCTGTGGACAGTGAGAGATATTTTAGTGTCGTTGCAAGCGTCCTTGATGAGAACAGAAACAGGCTCAAACCTGACAAGGTAGAGATGTTAGTTTTCATTAAGAAAAACATAAATTTCCTTCTGTGAAACTTACTACTTACTACAAACTTACTACTGTGATGATAGTAAAGATAGTAGTAAGTACTTTGTCCGGGGGACTGGGGAGAGGGAGGTCTGGGCTTCTCTGCATAGGCTGCTGCCCCCGAGACCCAGCCCCAGATAAGCAGAAGAAGATGGATAGATGGATGAGTTTTATGAGTGAAAGTGAAATCTGTGCAGCAAACTTAGTGTTACCTCCTCTACCTTCCTACAACATACAGCACAACATAACTGATGGAAGAAAACATGAGCACGAGCATCACTTCCTGTTTGCTGAAGTGGATTTTCAGTTGTTTAGAAACCAAAAGATTGTTTTTAAGAGAGTTTAAATGGGATTGAGGGAATGACATATTTGCACTGCAAATTGTATCCAAAAACATCAAGCAGTTAAATCAAAGAGTTCATGTTACTAACAGCTCACCTCTCTGCAGCAGACACAGGCTGGACTTTAAAATTAATGGGACGATCTGCAGACAAATCACTCTTCAAGGACACACAGCCGGATTTAGGTTCATATTTACGTTTTGTTCCTCGTTTATTCCTGTGAATAATGATGGAGCAGTGATGTGAGTGCTGAGCTGTGACATGGAGAAGAGTCATGGACAGTTAGAGATGGTCATCTCACCTCTGAGCTTTGGTCTGGCTCTCATGTTCCCCACACAGAGTGCTTTTAGAGGGAGAGGCTCCCTCCTCTCTGTCCTCACACTGATCCATGCTGCTCAATTCACATCAGCTCACACACACTTTCTACCTGCAGAGGAAACACAAATCATTCATGTGCACATCAACCGTGTGCTGTCCAAATATCAGCTGCTTCTTTCCTGCTTCATCTCAGTGTCAGCCGAGAGAATGACAAACCCACTATGTGTCAACATTTGATGGATGATGACACAGAAATGTGAAATGTTATTGACCTAAATCTGTCCTGATGATAATGAGAAGCTCTGGTGAGTTTTGACTGTCTGAAGTGTCACTAGGATGATGAAACACTGGGACTCAGCCCAGTCCTGACATCTTTGCTATTTTCACTTGATAACAACAGCTGTTTAAAGTTACTGCGTGTATTTGACAGTAAAATGAATGTAAATGTGAGTAAATAATCATTTACAAAGTCTGCTGCTCTCTCTGTAACCATATGACCATCAACTAGCTCTGTGCTGCTGCTGCTCTCATTCACGAAGTGCTCAAACACATTTTTAACTTGTGAATTAGCGTTAGCGTTAGCATGCCGTGTGGCTAGCTTAGCGTTAGAGCTCTGGCAGGTGATTAATTAATCGTTAATTACTGTGACGGTAAAGGAGGTAAAGGCCTATAACGTTATCACGGATGCTGCGTCCTCTGTGGACTAAGCAAACTTACAGTTTCTTCACACACACCAACAACAAGCTCCACTTACTTCATTATAGTTCATCTGCTTCCTGGAAAGCCAGGGCTTCACCTGAGCGGAGGCAGATTTTCACAATAAGAGCACTCTGTCACTAATGTAACGCTGACGGTTTGTGACTGTTTAACTTTGTGTTGACAGAATTAAAGTAACTTGGGGTGACTTCTTCTGTCCTGTTTCTCTGAGCAGATTCAGCTTTGGCTGAAATAATCAAACTGGTAATTATCAGCCATCGTATTAAAGGATGTATCATTTTATTCTGAAAATCAACAGGAATCTGGTGCTGATCAAAGAATCTCCTTTTAATGGCTGTCATTCAAAGCTTTAAATGGACTTACCAACTTGTTACCTGGGATGGTTTTAGAGGCCTGGACAGTCCCGATGGACTCTTACTTTGAAAGGCTGGAGTCACCTGTAAGAGGGTTCAAAAGGGAACGTCCACAATTTAACTGCAGGAGATTTTTATTAAAGACATTTAGCAGACTCAAAAATAATAATACTCACTGTCTTTATTGTCTGTGTTCCTCTGTCCTGCTGTTTGTGACTGTGTAAAAAAAAAATTGAAACTTGCATAAATAAAAAGGGGAAAAATAATAATAATAATACTCACAGAAAAGTAATCAGATTACATGGGTCTGGAAACACTGTGTTCATTGTGTGTGAGTTTGTGTTTCCACCTGTGATGGTGAGATAAAGTTTCATCAGGCTTTGAAGCCTTCCAGCTAACTTAGCCTCACAGAGGTTCATATGTGGAGGCTTCATGTCTACACAAATCCCCCTGAGGGTCAAAAACAGCCAAACAGGCAGAGTTATTACAGGTCATGTTAAGTGCAGTATTTGTGAGACAGCTCTTGTTGTTACCAGTGTGTGCATGGCAGCAAAAACAAGAACTAGATTCACCTTAATACATGTATTTCACGGTGTTGTGTCCTCCGCTTCGTGTTTTCATTCGAACACAATTTCTGTGTTTGTTTGTGCATATTGTTCTGTAACATGTCAGCTCAATAAAACTGAATGTTAATGGCTGCCTACACCCAGGTAGATGTCTATGTTAGTGAATCTCAAACTATCAGATATCAAAATAAGAAAGGATCTTTTGCCTTCTCATTTTTCTTCCTCAAATTTTGTCTCCACAATTATAGAGACTAAATATTGTCATGGGACGTAATATTTTCATACACTAACATGATCTTTAATGAGTGCTGGTTGGGCTCAACGCAGTAATGCTACCATTGTTAGCACATTACTTTCAACAATTCAATTCAGTTTTATTTATATAGCACCAAATCACAATAGTCGCTTCAAGGCGCTTTATTTTAAGGTAGACCCTACAATAATACATACAGAGAAAAACCCAACAATCATATGACCCCTATGAACAAACACTTTGGTGACAGTGGGAAGGAAAAACTCCCATTTAACAGGAAGAAACGTTTGGCAGAACCACGGAGGGGCGAGGCCATCTGCTGCGACCAGTTCGGGTGAGAAAAGGAAGACGGGATAAAGACATGTTGTGGAAGAGAGACTGAGATTAATAACAAGTATGATTCAGTGTAGAGAGGTCTATTAACACATAGTGATGAAGAAGAAACTCCCAGTGTATCATGGGAATCCCCCAGCAGCCTACACCTATTACAGCAATCATTTACAGTCGGGTGGTCGGGCTGTCCACACGCACACCCTCGGATGTTCAGCTCTCCATCCCTCCTTCACATTCTTCATATATCCATGTTGGAGAGTGCCTTTTGTACAAGAAAATACACCTCTTAACAATGCAAAGCTGTCAGCACAGGTGGTGAAAGTACACACAGTATTTATTTAAGTAGAAGTACAGATATTAGTGTTGAAAAATACTCTAATATAAAGTAACGACTCTGAAATGTACTGAAAGTAAGGAGCTCATTGTAGGACAATTGTAACCTATTGTAACTGTATGTATATATAATATAATATAATATAATATAATATAATATAATATAATATAATATAATATAATATAATATAAAATAATTAGATGAAAATCCAAATGTTGTTCTAATGTAAATCCTAGTTGTTCCCTTGAACAACTAGGACACAAGCAGTGAAAGAAAATTTAAACAGAACTCTTTCCTGTTGTTTACATGGTAAAGGGTTTGGAAGTTGGGGGAAAACCCTCAGAGCTTTTGTAGTGGCTCAGCACGGAGAACAGAATCACAGCTCACAATGATTTCTAATGTGAGGTTCAGTACAGGCTGTGATCAGCTGACCTGCTGCTCTTTGTTCATTTAAATAGCTGAATTCAACAAGATGGAAACAGATGTTTCACAGCTACCTTAGCTGATTTCCATCCCCTACGCTGACAGCACGCTATCCAATCTTTATACTAGACAGGAGAACGTTGGTATATAGATTGAACTGAGTGAATCAATCTAAGCATTATCAGCTGAAATGCAACAAATCTCTGCCACACTTGATGTAACTTAACTCTGGCCATGAGCACCAGTCCAACACAGAGCTTTACTAAACACTTTAAGGCTCATGTAGCCCCATTATTTTATATTGCACAGCTGCCTTGTGGTTTGTGTCACATATTTGTGTTTTGATGCACAGATGTGCATCGTAGTATAGTTTCGGATTTCGACTGCTACACTCAGATACTAACAGATAGAGTTGGATGTGTCGAGACCAGTCTTGGTCTCACTTTTATGTGGTCTTGGTCTTGTCTTAGTCTCAGATCCCTTGGTCTTGCTGTCTCAGATCGACGTAGTGGTCGGGAGATTTGGAGTCAACAGTATCCATGACACACTATGTAACGTTCGATAATATGTCATGCGCGAAAGCATCAGCTTTAAGAGCCGTGCTTAGAGAGTGCTTTGTAGTGAATCAGAAGAGTTGACTCCCATTGAGTGAGAGCTGGCTCCTCACTTAATTTCCTTTCGCTGCTCAGCTCTCACACAGTGGCTCAGCTATGCTCCTATCCCTTAATATGGTGGCCAATCTCATGCGAGGATATAGGATGATATAATTATGTGAAAAACAGAGGGTGAGAGACGCGACAGTCAAGTGGAGCGTGTGTCTGTCCTCTCAGTAAGTGAGTGAGACAGTAGACAGCAGTGAGGAGGGCTGTGTGAGTGCATCGCAAAAACACATAAATATGCCTGACATCCGTAAACAAAGCAGCGTCTGGCTGCAGTTTAAAGGCTTTTTTGTCTCGGTCTTGTTTCGACTTTGTCTTGGTCTTGTCTTGGTATCGATACCCTCTGGTCTTGGTTTAGGCGGTCTTGACTACAAGTTTACTAACAGACAGAAACAAAGAGAAGCTGTCTTCTCTGAAGATGGTCTGCCTGGATTCGTGATGACACCTCAAGGTCCAAACCTTTGAGACTGACTCTCCCAGAGAAAAACAGGCCTATAAATTCTGCTGTTAGGACACGGCCCCCTCTCTAACTCTACAGGCCTGACCAGAGGACCAGAGACGGTTGCCATGGTGATGTGAGAAGCGACATCTCCATGTAGGGAGATGTGGGAAAGGTGCAGGAGATGAAACGTGAGCCGTACATGGGTCTAAAGGCTTTCCTCCAGCTGTTGAGCGATCACATTAACTATCAGTTTTTACCAATAATAAAATAAAAGTAATAAATAAAATAAAAGTATTTCCTGCCTGGGTGAGGCAGCCTTTGTCTCTGAGCCAGAGAGGTCCATGGAGCTGTGGAAAACTCATCTGAAATTCTGTTTGATCATAAAGTGTGAAAACGTATCATTGGAGCATATTTGTCTTCTCTCTCATATAAAAAAGCCAACACAAGCTAACCTGGTAACCTAACAAAAACTCCTCAGTATTTGAAGAACACAAAGTTAGTGTGTTAGTTTGTTTTGCAGGACATCTCACAGTGTGATACATCATTTATCCAAACACACCATATACAAATCCAATATGTCAATAAAACAATAAGGTTACATTAGTGGAACTCTGACTTTGCTCTTAACAGTCTTTGAAAAGCAACAAATCCAGTAAATGTACTTTGATCTTGAGGTTTGGTGTAAAAACATCCTGTCAGCCCTGTGCTGAGAGGGCTGTGCTAATTCATCCGTCCTGTTCTAATAAAGATACATTTCAGGAACACCTTCTTTAGATGTGTTCAGCTTTATTCATACAGCACCAGTAAACAAACATGTTTAGTCTCAAAGCTCGTTATATTGTAAGGTAAAGAGCCCAAAGAGTTCTCATTGGCATTCATTGATGAAGTGAATGTCATTCAGTAATCAGAGGTGGCTTTTTGGCTCTAACTGACTACAT